GGGCGGAGTGGAAACCAGGTGCAGTGCGGTAACCAGGTAACTGTTCTGCAGCGCCGCCTCCACCTTCTCAGGAGGCCGCTAGAGCTTACCCACCTTCTCACAAAGCAGCTCCAATGCGTACACGTCCACCTCGCCCCTTCCTACCTACTACACTTTGCCCCCCACCAAAGATACTATTCTGCGCCTGCCTGCCCAGGTGAAACCTACCTGCAGCGCCTGGAGGAGTTGTAACCAAGTGCAGTGCGGTAACCAGGTAACTGTTCCGCAGCGCTGCCTCGACTTTCTCAGGGGGCCTCTTCGGCCACCCCACCTTCTCGCACAGCCGCTCCAACGCATACACGTCCACCTCGCCGCCCGCTGAAAACACAATCTTGCTGCTGCTGCCATCCTCTGCCTTGGTCTCTACCAGCACCACCTCTCCATACACTCCCTCCTCTTCCTCCTCCTCATCCTCGTCCCCGTCCTCTTCCCCTGAGTCGTCATTATAGTCGTCGTCACTCTCCGGACCTCCGCTGCTGCCTTGGGACGATCGTTCGGCTTCTTCCTTCTTGTCGCCACCCAGCAACCTGGGGGGTGGAAGTGACACGGGAGGAGGGAGGTGTATGGGGCATGAGTCGTCCTCTTCCCCTGAGTTGTCATCATAGTCATCGTCACTCTCGAGACCTCCTCTGCTGCCTCGGGACGATCGTTCGGCTTCTTCCTTTTTGTCGCCACCCAGCAACCTGGGGAATGGGAGTGACATGACATGGGAGGCGGAAGATGACGAAAATAGAAGATGGTAAGGTGCATGGCACTAGAAAGGACAGGAGAGAAGCTTCTTTATCCTCCTTCCTCCTCCTCATCTTCCTCTCCTCCTCGTCCCCGTCCTGTTCCCCTGAATCGTTGTCATTATAGTCGTCATCACTATCAGGACCTCCTCTGCCTCCTCGGGATGACCTTTCGGCTTCTTCCTTCTTGCCGCCACCCACCACCCAGCAACCTGAGGTATGGGAGCGGCACGGGGGGAGGGAGGTGGCGAAAATGAAAGATGGCATGGGGCATGGCACTAGAAAGGACAGGAGAGAAGCTTCTTTATCCTCCTCCTCATCCTCCTCTTCCTCGTCCTCATCCTCCTCCTCGTCCCCGTCCTCTTCCCCCCCTGAGTCGTCATTGTAATCATCGTCACTCTCGGGACCTCCTCTGCCTTGGGACGATCTTTCGGCTTCTTCCTTCTTGTCGCCACCCAGCAACCTGGGGAATGGAAGTGACACGGAACATGACACACGGCATGACACGGGGGAATGACACGGGATGTGATACATTACTCTCGTGGTACAGGAAAAGGGAGGTGACACCAGAAACGACCACTCGTACGGGACAAAACTCATGACATGTCGCCTTGAACACCAGGGTGCGTGACCCGAAACGAGAAGGGTTTTTATTGAAACTGGGCCTCCCTAAAGTGTTGTAACTGTACCCAGCTAAGAAGCTGGGTGTTACAACCGCACCTAGAAGCTGTTGTAACCGTACCGAGCGAAGAAGCCGAGAGTTGTAACGGCCATGGAGGGGAGGAATGCAGGAAGGGAGAGGGGACGCGCTGGAACGGAAGCAACGCCGAAGGAGGGAGGCACTGCAGCTAGCGACGATGAGACGATTACTGAGAAGGGGAAGACAGAAAATTAGGGTTGTGATAAAACAAAACGCAAGAGAGAATCGTATGAATATTAGCTAAAAGAGAAACATTTGAATCTTTAAAAGAAAGGAAAATTGTCGCATACTCAGCGTCAGGTAGTAAGGAAACGACTTTAATGCAAAACACGTGTCAGTCCTGTCATATCTTACTTGCTTTTCTCCTCGGTTTCGCAATGCGATCGCTCGCTAGCCGCGGCGCGTGACTCTGGTCGAAACGCGGTCTCGCGTATGGAAGCACAGCTGCCGCCATGTGGACGGCTAACAAGAAAAAACGAAAGATTGAAGTACAAGATTTTTTTTGGTCGAAAGCAAACAATGCCTTAAAACATTTAAACCTTATTCAACGTTACTAGTGCGAGCTCCAACCTAAAATGCGGGTTTCACCATAGAATATGTTCTCTATCAACCTAGAACATAGGCAGTTGCTGATCCCAATAGCATAGAGGGATGGTAGGCCAGGGATGGTAGTATTGGATTAAGCCATGGATGGCACCACATACCTGTTGCCTGGGTTCGTAAATGAGGCAGTGTTTACAAATTTCGGGAAGGGTAGACTTCGTCCACTTTCGATCCAGTCTCAGCGGTGGGAAACGATGTTGTGCGTTTTGAAGCGACCTAAACCTTAATCCACCACTTTGAACCCGTCCCGACAGTCTGATAGTGAAATAGTACTGAAAATGAACTAGGTCTGAACGGTACTGAGTGGTGTTGACTGTTGGAGAATCATGTCAAACGAGTTCGATTCTGTGCGAAGATTGTCGCCGCCATTTCGCGAGAGACCAAATTCCTCGCCACACATGCCTCTCCTGCAATTCGCCAACTCGTCTCGATTCTCGTCAGCATTGTTACCCCCATCCCATGTTACACGAATGAACGTTCTCCCTCCCTCCCTCCCCCCAGCCCAGCCACGAATGAACTTGCTGACTCGATTTTGCCTGCAGCTGTTGCTTTTCCGTTGGCATTGTAGCAATGGTGGAACGATGGTGGAATGAAGGAGCCCTAAAACTACACATGATGGCTGTATGTGCGAGCAATGCAAACTTGGAATCCAGCAATGCAGCGGCACACGAATTCAAGCACTGGTTCAGATGTATGACGTGACGACTATCGCCTTTCCAAGTTCCAATCTTCCCAATCTTCCCTTCGAAGTGCACATGTTTGAAGCAGTCACTGTGGAGACGGAAAGCACACGGTGAGTGTTCGCGGCGACGACGTTCCATCCAAGATTTGCCGAGCGTTGTGAAATCTCTCCCGCTTGACTAGCCAGAGACGGTAATGCGCATCGGATAATGGGTTTCAGTCCCCATCTTGCTCACTTTCTAAAGCGAACCTGGATTCTTTTTCCTAGTATTTGTAGTTGCTCGTCTCTTTGTCATATTTATCATGGAGGGAGCTACGTTTTGCTGTCTATTAATCTGTAAGCACCTACTATTCCCGCCTCTTCGCAAGTGCATGCAAGCCTCTGCCGCTCAAACGCAGCGTGCTTCTAACGAGACCTCGCCCTGCCCTCTGCCTCCGTGTGCAGGTGTGCTAGTAACAGTGCCGTTCTGCACAACCGCCGGTGCAGCAGCGTCTGCCGCACCGTCTCTCGCAGCGTCTGCCGCGCCGTTGCCCCCAGCGTCTGCTGCACCGTCGCTCCCAGCGCCCCTCTTACTCTCGTCATTCCCAGAGTCATTCTTACACTCGTCCCTTGCAGCTTCCGATGAGTCATCGGGTCCAGGCGGGCTCTCTGTCGCGTCGTCCACTCAGATTTCGAATGTTCCTAAAGGAAAAGTTTTCCGTGAGTTCTTCCAATCAGCATAAGCAAGAGAAACTGTTTCAGTCAATTCTCCGCCTGATTCTTTTTCTAGGTATCATGCATGAAAAAGCTGGTCTACTGCTAGATTGTGCTCTGCGGGGGTAACACGTATTATATCGCCCCACTGCAACACTCCACTATAACGCTCCACTATAACGCTGCACTATAACGCTCCACTATAACGCTCCACTATAACGCACCCAGCTGCGTTGGAGCGATAGTCCTTTGTCCTATTGTGCTTGCCTTCCACCCGATCCCATTTTCAGTGCGCTATGTGGCCAAGCTGAGACCCCCCCGTAGCCACGGAAAGATCGTTGGTGACCTGGCCGCAACGGGGAAATACTCGTTCAAGGGACTGGAGTGAGTATGGTTTTTTGTTGCTTGCTTGTAATATTCAGTTTGGTGCATCCCTTGTTTCATTCCTGCGACGTTCAATGCGTAATCTGCAATCTGTTTTGTGAAATTTGTGTATTTTCCTGATCCTAGACAAAATAAACCTACCTTCACATAACGTATGAGGATCCCCCTGTCTCGACCATTCCCCCAATGACGGGCGGCAGGTCCTCTGCTTCAGAATATTACGTAGTGGTGAAGGTACGTGCAGAGAACGTCCGATCGGGAGGGGTTCAACCCTACCTTATGGTTGGTCCTTCATGCATTGCTGTCAAATATCCGAAGAAACGATACGCCATACATTGGAAGAACATCACAAGCAGCTGGAGTGGTTTGTTAAAGCGCTACAGCTTTGCTATCTCGATGCACGTCGGCCCATGGACAAAATCCCAGGTGCTGGAAGTGATTCAACAGTCTAGTGATTTATTGTCCAGGCTTTATCTGGTTGTGGCTCATCCAAATAACAACCATGCACTCTGTGGGAAAGCGAGGAAGAGACCTGTTAAAGCAGGACCTTCTAGTTCTGGGCTGAGAGCATTTTAATTAGAAACTATTCAGCAAAGTTTGCTTCCATTCCAACCGTCAGCTGATGGCTGAGCAACGACAGGGCGACTTTTGTTTCCTCCAGCCCTTCGTTCCCTGATTGTGCTTGCAAAACATTGTTTTTGATGCTCTCTCTAATGAAGAGTTCTAGTATGGAATGTCACCCTCTTGGACAAATTATCAATGGTTTGCTGTGAGCTCTACATTGATAAGATGAGAGCAGGAATAAGGCTTTGATGTTTGATGTATTTCTGATACCTTAGGTCGGAGGAAGCAGACAAAAGAATCTGAGGTTACAAAAAAATATATATAACTGAACCGTAAATTTGCCATGCCGACTGGCACTTGCAATAACGGGACAGTCACAGAAACACATGGAACCCAAGCAGGACCTACGACGTCCTTACCTACCTCGCGTTGAAACTCATAACTGAAGCCGCATTTCTGGTGTTGTATCAGCGAGGCGCGGTGAGGCATGGGTGTTGCGTGAAATCAATAGGCGACTCGGCGGCTGGCGGCTGTCTGCGAAGTGAAATCCTAGCAACGGCTACAAAGTGGCCGACTTGATATTATGATGCGGCTATCTCAACCCAAAATGCCTCTATTGACCACCCGATCCTCGTTATTAGTCATCTTCTGTATAGCTCAGGTGCTTTTCGCGATTCTCTCATTGTCAACAGCAGAAGCAGCAGCAGCAACAGCAGCCGCAGCGCACTCGTTCGGACCGATCGAGGTCCCTGGCGTCGCGTCAGCAGCAGCTTTTGGACTGTCGGTTTCCGCGTCTGCGTTGGGGTTGCATCAGAGACGGAGAGGTAGCGACAGCAGCGCCTCGTCACCGCAGGAATCTCCCGCTAAACGGTAACGGGATGCATTATTGTCCTCGGTATAAACTTCCGAAACTCAACTGCTTTGTTATAGTGAGTTTCCGCATCTGCATTGGGGCTCGACCAGAGACGGAGACGGAAAGCCAGCGGCAGCAGTGCGTCGTTACTGCAGAGGGAGAGGGGGAGAGTGTGTCATCGACTGAGGGTATCGATTTCTTTGCCACTATTGAGTCGACTCATAAGGCCAGCGGCAGCAGTGCCTCGTTAATGCAGAGGGAGAGTGGGAGAGTGCGAGTTATCGTCTGAAATGGTGCCGATTTCCGTTGGATATCCATCACACCCTGTTGTGCTCTGCAGATTTCTCAAGAGTGCAGTGAGAGAGGGGAGAGTATGAGTGAAAGTATTCTCTTTGTTTCCACTCCCATCACACCTTCCTCTCCCATCACACCTTTCCACTCCCATCACACCTCCCACTCTCATTACTCCCCTTTGTGCTCTCCAGATCTCTCAAGAGTGCGGAGGGGGGAGCGAGGGGGACATGTGCGCAGTGTAAGGAGCAGCTGAAGGAGCTCCAAGAATGGTTCGCAGGTGTGCAATGTGGTGACGAGGTTTGGTTGGATTGAATTTCACTGTTGGGGAGGGATGGGGTGGGAAGGGGCGAAGGGATGGGGAGAGTAGTGTTCCGAGTGGTAGTAACGGTTGAAAGAGCTTCACGAGTGGTTCACAGGAGTGCTGTGAGGTAGTGATGCAATCCCTGGTGCAATCCGTGGGGCATCACCTTTCCTCCTCCATGCTTCCCCTCCCTCCCTCCCTCCCTCGCCTTGCCAGGGGTTGAAGCAAGCAAGCTGGCCATTAGGGGCAGAGAGGGGCAGCAAGAGGGGAGGGGGGGATCGACTGATCCATCACCTTTTATTCCTGCCCCACTGACCCTCATCTGCACTCCTTCCCTTCCTTGCTCGCCTTGGCCCTTGCCAGAGGTTGAAGCGAGCGAGCTGGGCGATCAGGGCAGTGAGGGGCAGCAAGAGGGAGTGGGGGTCGACTGATGTATCACTTTACTCCTGCTCTTCTCCCCTCATCTGCACTCCCTCCCTCCCTCCCTCGCCTTGCCAGGGGTTGAAGCAAGCAAGCTGGACGATCAGGGCAGCGAGGGGCAGCAGGTGGGAGGGAGGGGGGGTCGAGTGATGTATCACCTTTTATTCCTGCGCTGCTAACCCTCATCTTACACTCCTTCGCTCCCTTGCTCGCCTTGGCCCTTGGCAGGGGTTGAAGCAAGCGAGCTGGGCGATCAAGGCAGCGAGGGGCAGCAGGTGGGAGGGAGGGTCGGCTGTTGTATCACCCTTCCTCCTGGCTCCTGCCCTTCTCCCCTGGCCCGCTAAACCTCATCTGCACTCCTTCCCTCCCTTCCTCCCCTTGCCAGGGGTTGAAGCAAGCAAGCTGGGCGATGCGGGCAGCGAGGGGCAGCCGGGGGGAGGAGGGGGAAGGGGAAGGGGAGGGGGCGGAAGGGGAGGCGCAGGGGGGAGGGGCACAGAGGCGGACGATGTGATGGCACTGCAGAGCCGACTGGTGGAGAAGCAGGGGGAGCTGAAACGGTTGAAGGCGGAATATGAGGCTCTGCAGGTGGGTTCTGTGCGGTGCAGGCCGGTATGATGAGCCTAGGGTAAAACAGGCACAGAGGAGGGGCACAGAGGCGGACGACGTGATGGCACTGCAGAGCCGACTGGTGGAGAAGCAGGGCGAGCTGAAACAGCTGAAAGCGGAACACGAAGCCTTGCAGGTGGGTTTATGGGACAGCGCACGTAAGGTAACGGGGGAGGGTGGGAGGGAAGGGAGGGATACAGAGGCGGGCGATGTGATGGAGGTGCAGATTCGACTGGTGGAGAAGCAGGGCGAGCTGAAACAACTCAAGGCGGAATATGAGTCCTTGCATTGCAGGTGGGGTGTAGGTCGGTATGAGGCTGAATGGGAGGGGCACAGAGGCAGTAGTGATGTGATGGAGCTGCAGAGCCGACTGGTGGAGAAGCAGGGGGAGCTGAAACAACTCACGGCTGAATATGAGGCTCTGCAGGTTACGGTGTGTGGTTCGGTTCGGTTCGGACTGTGTTTAGAGGAGTGAAGGTGAATATGGACAAGTCAGCGCTTGATGTGAAGGAGGTGCGTGTCTGTGTGTGTATGTGTGTGTATGTGTGTGTATGTGTGTGTATGTGTGTGTATGTGCCTGAGTTAAGAGGAGTGAAGGTGAATGCGGACAAGGCAGCGCTGGATGAACGTGAAGCTGACCGAGTCTTGTCTTGTGTGCCCCTTCTCCACCCTCTCACCCCTCCGTATCACCCTTCTCCCTTGTTTCTTTCCTCCCTCGGCCCTTTCAGAAACGTCACGAGAAGGTGAATGCGGACAAGGCAGCGCTGGATGTGAAGCTGACAGATTCGTGTCTCATGTGCCTGTCCTTCCACCCCTCTGTTTTCCTCCCAACCTTATCCCACCTCTCTCAACACCAGAAGCGGCACGAGAAGGTGAATGCGGACAAGGCAGCACTTGATGTGAGGCTGACAGAGTCGGGGGCGGATTGGGGCAAGAAGGCCATTACCAAGGAGGTGCGTGCTTGTGTGTATGTGTGCGTATGTGCCGTGTGATAGTTAGTTGAACAACAAGTAGTCACAAGGCAGCGCTGGATGTGAAGCTGACTGAGTCGGGCGCGGATTGGAGCAAGAAGGTGCGTTGTGTGTGTGTGTGTGTGTGTGTGTGTGTGTGTGCGTGCGTGCGTGCGTGCGTGCGTGCGTGCGTGCGTGTGTGTGTGTGTGTGTGTGTGTGTGTGTTTGTGTGTGTGGGGAGGGGGGGGGGGGGAGAACGGCGCGCGCGTGTGTGTATTGTGAGTGTGGTGTCGGGGTTATAGGAGCGCAGGTGGTGCAGAAGTCTCTAAAATCTCTATTCTTCTTTCCTCCTCGTCTTTCCCCCTCTTATTTCCCTCTCGTGTTCCCCCTTCCTTTCCCTTCCCCCGTCCCTTTCCTCCTCGTCTTTCCCCATCCTCCCACCATCCCATCCCCATCACCCCCTCCCACCACCACCACCACCCCCCCCCCAGGCACTCAGCAGGGCAACAGAACTGCTGCAGAGCTGCAAGCCGCATGTTCACAGCAGCCTTCCTTACATTTCCCCTTGTGTTCTACCCATCCCCCAACCCCGCCTCACCACCACCCTCCCTATAGGCTCTGACCAGGGCGACTGAGCTGCTGCACAGCTGCAAGCCGCGTGTCCACACGTCCTTCCATCCCCACACAACCCTCTCTTCTTATCCCCTTTCCCCCTCTTCCCCACCACTCCCCCCCAATCACCTCCACCCTTCCTTTAGTCGCTGAGCAGGGTAACGGAGCTGCTGCACAGCTGCAAGCCGCAAGTGCCTCGCGTTCGCCTATCCCTTCACATTCCCCTCTTCTCTTCCCCTTTCCCCATCACCACCTCCCTCCAGGCCTTGAGCAGGGCAACGGAGCGGCCGCACAGCTGCAACCAGGATGGCCGCGCACACAGCCTTCCTTACCTTTTCCCTCGTCTCTCCCTTTTGCCTTTCCCCCTCATCCTTTGACTTACCCCATCCCTTCCCCATCCCCCTCCAGGCGCTGAGCAGGGCAACGGAGCTGCTGCAGAGCTGCAAGTCACATGTCCGCACAGCCTCACTTTCCTTACATTCTCCTTCGTTTCGGATTCGTATTCGTATTCGTCCCATCCTCCCTCCTCTCCCCTCCCAACCCCAGGCTCTGAGCAGGGCAACGGAGCTGCTGCACAGCTGCAAGCCCCAGGCAGACAGGCACTGACTGTCCACACAGCCTTCCTTACGTTTCCCTTCTTCTCTCCCCATCCTCCCCATCCTCCCCCCATCCTTCCCCATCCCCCCCCCCTTCCCCCCCCCTTCCCCCCCCCTTCCCCCCCCCTTCCCCCCCCCTTCCAGGCTCTCACCAGGGCAACGGAGCTGCTGCACAGCTGCAAGCCCCAGACAGGCCCTGTAATTTCCAAGAAGGTTCCCAGCTGGAAGGTGGGTGGGAGGGGCTGTCAGTATCTGTGTCTGTGTGTGTGTTTCTGCGCATATGTGTCTGTGTGTTAGTGTGTGTGTTACGTGATGAGCTACCCCCATGTTCTGCTACAGAGTGTGAATTCCTCGCTTTTATGTTCGCCTTTATTTAGGCCGTTCCCAGTCCTTTAAAGAGAACAGCTCGCCTTCATGTAGAACCGGAGGTTGCCTTCAAAGAACTCTTAGCTTCTCGTGTAGAGAGGGTGTGTTTGAGACGTCTCAAAAACAACCCCTCTCTACACGTAGCTTGCCTTCAAAGAACTCTTAGCTTGTCTGAGCAAGGGGCTGTTTTGACACTTAGCTTTGAGACATGTTAAGACTCTTCCCATCCCGTGACATGGTGCGTGCGAGCTGCAACGCTATGTGGACTATGAGACAAAAGGGTATTTTTGAGAATTCTCAAGTTGACTTTTGAGTCGACTCAAAAGTCAACGCTACGTGGACTATGAGACAATAGGGTATTTTTGAGAATTCTCAAGTTGACTTTTGAGTCGACTCAAAAGTCAACGCTACGTGGACTATGAGACAAAGGGTATTTTTGAGAATTCTCAAAAATACTCTGCAACGCTATGTGGACTACACGAGACAAAGGGCATGTGTCCTGGCGATCAGCTCATGCCTTTCGCTCCGTTTTGTTCTATTTTCATTCATCCCCGTTACAGGGTTACTCATGTTCCGCTACAGAGCGCGAGCTGCAGCGCTACATGGACTTCGAGACCAGAGGCATGTGCCCTGACGATTGGTTGTTCGTCCAAGACCTAATTTTCCGCAAACAATGCCACTCACTACCGAAGAGGCGCTGCCTTGCTCGCACGGCACACAAGATAGTGGAGGTGGGTGGTGGGTGGGTGGTGAAGGGTTGCGTGGGTAGTGCGTAGGTGAGGGGCCACTCGCAAGCAGTGCCACTCGCTGCCCAAGAGGCGCTGCCTTTCTCGCACTGCACACAAGATAGTGGAGGTGGGTGGGCGAGTGGTTGGCTGGGTGGGTGGGTGGGTGGGTGGGTGGGTGTGTAGGTGGGCATGCGGGTGGATGTATCATACACGGTTGTGTGAGGGGGATGTGTCCTGAGTCCTGCCTCAACGCCCTCACCCCTTCCTTGCTTTCTCATCTGCCCCTCCTGTACTGTGTTTTCCCTGCCTGCTTCCTCCCTTCCCCGCTCCTACCCCAGCCCTTGTCAAGACCTACCGCTCTCTTCTCCCAGTCAGTCCTGCAAGACACCTCAGTGCCGTGGAACAACCACGCCTGCTTCTCATTCACCTTCTCCCTCAACGCCCTCTCCCCCTCCTTGCTGCTACTCTCTCTACCCTCCTTCCAGCCCCTCTCAAGGCCAACGTCTCTTTTCTCCCAGTCCGCCCTCCAAGACGCCTCAGTCCGGTGGAACAACCATGCCTTCTCCTCCTTCGCCGTGTCCCCCAGCTCTCTTCCCCCCTCCTTGCCTCCTCATCTGCACCTTCCGTACTGTGTTTGCGCTGCCTGCTTCTCCACTCCTTCCATACAGCCCCTGTCAAGACCAACGTCCCTCTTCTCCCAGTCAGCCCTCCAAGACTCATCAGTGAGGTGGAACAACCACGCCTTCTCCTCCTTCGCCGTGTCCCCCAGCTCTCTTCCCCCCTCCTTGCCTCCTCATCTGCACCTTCCGTACTGTGTTTGCGCTGCCTGCTTCTCCACTCCTTCCATACAGCCCCTGTCAAGACCAACGTCCCTCTTCTCCCAGTCAGCCCTCCAAGATTCTTCTGTCCGTTGGAACAACCACGCCTTCTCCTCCTTCGCCTCCCTCAACGCCCTCTCCCCCTCCGCCCTTGCCTCTGCCACGGCCGGCACAGGGGACGCCTGCAGACACCGATTCTGCCTCACCGTCTCCAGTTTTCTCCCCTTTTTCTCCTTTTTTTCTCCCCTTTATTCCCTCCTCGTTCCTCCTGCAGCCCTTGTCAAGGCCCGCTTCTCTCTTCTCTCAATCCGCCCTTCAAGACTCATCAGTGAGGTGGAACAACCATGCCTTCTCCTCCTTCGCCTCCCTCCCTCTGCTCTGTCTGCTCCTGTTGCTTGCCTGGCTCCCCCCTCCAACAGCCCCAGTCAAGGCCCACCTCTCTCTTCTCCCAGTCGGCCCTCCAAGACGCCTCAGTGCAGTGGAACAACCATGCCTTCTCCTCCTTCGCCTCCCTCCCTCTGCTCTGTCTGCTCCTGTTGCTTGCCTGGCTCCCCCCTCCAACAGCCCCAGTCAAGGCCCACCTCTCTCTTCTCCCAGTCGGCCCTCCAAGACGCCTCAGTGCAGTGGAACAACCATGCCTTCTCCTCCTTCGCCTCCCTCCCTCTGCTCTGTCTGCTCCTGTTGCTTGCCTGGCTCCCCCCTCCAACAGCCCCAGTCAAGGCCCACCTCTCTCTTCTCCCAGTCGGCCCTCCAAGACGCCTCAGTGCAGTGGAACAACCATGCCTTCTCCTCCTTCGCCTCCCTCCCTCTGCTCTGTCTGCTCCTGTTGCTTGCCTGGCTCCCCCCTCCAACAGCCCCAGTCAAGGCCCACCTCTCTCTTCTCCCAGTCGGCCCTCCAAGACGCCTCAGTGCAGTGGAACAACCATGCCTTCTCCTCCTTCGCCTCCCTCCCTCTGCTCTGTCTGCTCCTGTTGCTTGCCTGGCTCCCCCCTCCAACAGCCCCAGTCAAGGCCCACCTCTCTCTTCTCCCAGTCGGCCCTCCAAGACGCCTCAGTGCAGTGGAACAACCATGCCTTCTCCTCCTTCGCCTCCCTCCCTCTGCTCTGTCTGCTCCTGTTGCTTGCCTGGCTCCCCCCTCCAACAGCCCCAGTCAAGGCCCACCTCTCTCTTCTCCCAGTCGGCCCTCCAAGACGCCTCAGTGCAGTGGAACAACCATGCCTTCTCCTCGTTCACCTCCCTCAATGCCCTCTCTCCCTCCCTACCTCCTTCTCCTGTCTCTGTTCCCTGCTTCCCTTCCGTCTCTACCCCTCCTGCAGCCCCTGTCAAGACCAGCCTCTCTCTTCACACAATCCGCCCTCCAAGACTCTTCCGTCCGGTGGAACAACCACACCTGCTCCTCCTTCTCCTGCCACAACTTCCTCACCCCCTCTCTTTCCCCCTCCCTCTCTTTCGCTTGCCCATCTTGCAGCCCCTGTCAAGGCCTGCATCCCTGTTCTCTCAATCCGCCCTCCAAGACGCCTCCGTGAGGTGGAACAGCCACGCCTTCTCCTCCTTCGCCTCCCTAAACGCCCTCTCCTTCTCCCTCCCTCACCAGCTTCACTAGTCCCTCGTTCCTGCTTTCCTTCCCCCTCTACCCTCCCTCCAGCAGCCCCTGTCAAGACCGGCATCTCTCTTCTCTCAATCCGCCCGCCAAGACGCCTCAGTGCGGTGGAACAACCACTCCTGCTCCTCCTTCGTCTGCCTCAACGCCCTCTCCCCTTCCTTATTGCTACTCTGCCCACCCGCCAGCCCCTGCCAAGACCAGCCTCTCTCTTTGCTCAATCCGCCCTCCAAGACTCTTCTGTCCGTTGGAACAACCACGCCTTCTCCTCCTTTGCCTCCCTCAACGCCCTCTCCCCTTCCTTATTGCTACTCTGCCCACCCGCCAGCCCCTGCCAAGACCAGCCTCTCTCTTTGCTCAATCCGCCCTCCAAGACTCTTCTGTCCGGTGGAACAACCACGCCTTCTCCTCCTTCGCCTCCCTCAACGCCCTCTCCCCTTCCTTATTGCTACTCTGCCCACCCGCCAGCCCCTGCCAAGACCAGCCTCTCTCTTTGCTCAATCCGCCCTCCAAGACTCTTCTGTCCGTTGGAACAACCACGCCTTCTCCTCCTTCGCCTCCCTCAACGCCCTCTCCCCCTCCGCCCTTGCCTCTGCCACGGCCGGCACAGGGGACGCCTGCAGACACCGATTCTGCCTCACCGTCTCCAGTTTTCTCCCCTTTTTCTCCTTTTTTTCTCCCCTTTATTCCCTCCTCGTTCCTCCTGCAGCCCTTGTCAAGGCCCGCTTCTCTCTTCTCTCAATCCGCCCTTCAAGACTCATCAGTGAGGTGGAACAACCATGCCTTCTCCTCCTTCGCCTCCCTCCCTCTGCTCTGTCTGCTCCTGTTGCTTGCCTGGCTCCCCCCTCCAACAGCCCCAGTCAAGGCCCACCTCTCTCTTCTCCCAGTCGGCCCTCCAAGACGCCTCAGTGCAGTGGAACAACCATGCCTTCTCCTCCTTCGCCTCCCTCCCTCTGCTCTGTCTGCTCCTGTTGCTTGCCTGGCTCCCCCCTCCAACAGCCCCAGTCAAGGCCCACCTCTCTCTTCTCCCAGTCGGCCCTCCAAGACGCCTCAGTGCAGTGGAACAACCATGCCTTCTCCTCCTTCGCCTCCCTCCCTCTGCTCTGTCTGCTCCTGTTGCTTGCCTGGCTCCCCCCTCCAACAGCCCCAGTCAAGGCCCACCTCTCTCTTCTCCCAGTCGGCCCTCCAAGACGCCTCAGTGCAGTGGAACAACCATGCCTTCTCCTCCTTCGCCTCCCTCCCTCTGCTCTGTCTGCTCCTGTTGCTTGCCTGGCTCCCCCCTCCAACAGCCCCAGTCAAGGCCCACCTCTCTCTTCTCCCAGTCGGCCCTCCAAGACGCCTCAGTGCAGTGGAACAACCATGCCTTCTCCTCCTTCGCCTCCCTCCCTCTGCTCTGTCTGCTCCTGTTGCTTGCCTGGCTCCCCCCTCCAACAGCCCCAGTCAAGGCCCACCTCTCTCTTCTCCCAGTCGGCCCTCCAAGACGCCTCAGTGCAGTGGAACAACCATGCCTTCTCCTCCTTCGCCTCCCTCCCTCTGCTCTGTCTGCTCCTGTTGCTTGCCTGGCTCCCCCCTCCAACAGCCCCAGTCAAGGCCCACCTCTCTCTTCTCCCAGTCGGCCCTCCAAGACGCCTCAGTGCAGTGGAACAACCATGCCTTCTCCTCCTTCGCCTCCCTCCCTCTGCTCTGTCTGCTCCTGTTGCTTGCCTGGCTCCCCCCTCCAACAGCCCCAGTCAAGGCCCACCTCTCTCTTCTCCCAGTCGGCCCTCCAAGACGCCTCAGTGCAGTGGAACAACCATGCCTTCTCCTCCTTCGCCTCCCTCCCTCTGCTCTGTCTGCTCCTGTTGCTTGCCTGGCTCCCCCCTCCAACAGCCCCAGTCAAGGCCCACCTCTCTCTTCTCCCAGTCGGCCCTCCAAGACGCCTCAGTGCAGTGGAACAACCATGCCTTCTCCTCCTTCGCCTCCCTCAATGCCCTCTCTCCCTCCCTACCTCCTTCTCCTGTCTCTGTTCCCTGCTTCCCTTCCGTCTCTACCCCTCCTGCAGCCCCTGTCAAGACCAGCCTCTCTCTTCACACAATCCGCCCTCCAAGACTCTTCCGTCCGGTGGAACAACCACACCTGCTCCTCCTTCGCCTGCCACAACTTCCTCACCCCCTCTCTTTCCCCCTCCCTCTCTTTCGCTTGCCCATCTTGCAGCCCCTGTCAAGGCCTGCATCCCTGTTCTCTCAATCCGCCCTCCAAGACGCCTCCGTGAGGTGGAACAGCCACGACTTCTCCTCCTTCGCCTCCCTAAACGCCCTCTCCTTCTCCCTCCCTCACCAGCTTCACTAGTCCCTCGTTCCTGCTTTCCTTCCCCCTCTACCCTCCCTCCAGCAGCCCCTGTCAAGGCCGGCATCTCTCTTCTCTCAATCCGCCCGCCAAGACGCCTCAGTGCGGTGGAACAACCACTCCTGCTCCTCCTTCGTCTGCCTCAACGCCCTCTCCCCTTCCTTATTGCTACTCTGCCCACCCGCCAGCCCCTGCCAAGACCAGCCTCTCTCTTTGCTCAATCCGCCCTCCAAGACTCTTCTGTCCGTTGGAACAACCACGCCTTCTCCTCCTTCGCCTCCCTCAACGCCCTCTCCCCCTCCGCTCTCGCCACTGCCACGGCCGGCACGGGGGACGCCTGCGGGCGGCAACCGGGCGGCGGCGGTTGTTGGAACATGAGTGCGGAGGAGAGTAGGTGGATGGCTAAGCCGCCCAAGAATACAGCAGCAGGAGGGGCTCTTACTGTGAAGGAGGTTATTGCAATCAAGAAGGGGGCGCTGAGGTGAGCATGGGGGTTTGTTGGAACATGAATGAGGAGGAGAGGATAGTAGGAGAGGAGGTGGAGGAGAGGAGGTGGAGGAGAGGAGGTGGATGGCTAAGCCGCCCAAGAACACGGCAGGGGGAGGGGCGCTTATTGTGAAGGAGCTTATCGCGATCAAGAAAGGAGCTCTGAGGTGAGAAAGGGAGTGGACAGTGGGAGGTGGATGGCTATGCCGCTCAAGAACACAGCAGCAGGGGGGGCTCTTACTGTGAAGGAGGTTATTGCGATCAAGAAGGGGGCCCTGAGGTGAGCATGGGGGTTTGTTGGAACATGAATGAGGAGGAGAGGATAGTAGGAGAGGAGGTGGAGGAGAGGAGGTGGATGGCTAAGCCGCCCAAGAACACGGCAGGGGGAGGGGCGCTTATTGTGAAGGAGGTTATCGCGATCAAGAAAGGAGCTCTGAGGTGAGAAAGGGAGTGGACAGTGGGAGGTGGATGGCTAGGTCGCCCAAGAACACGGCAGGGGGAGGGGCGCTTATTGTGAAGGAGGTTATCGCGATCAAGAAAGGAGCTCTGAGGTGAGAAAGGGAGTGGACAGTGGGAGGTGGATGGCTAAGTCGCCCAAGAACACGGCAGGGGGAGGGGCTCTTACTGTGAAGGAGGTTATTGCAATCAAGAAGGGGGCGCTGAGGTGAGAAAGGGGAGTGGCCGGTGTGGGAGCATGAGTGCAGCAGGGGGGCGGTGATACGAACTCGCCGGCAGGAGGGGCGCTTACTGTGAAGGAGGATATCGCGATCAAGAAGGGGGCGCGGAGGTGAGAAGGGCACCATGTGTTTGGGTTAGGGAGTGGACGGTGGCTGTTGGAACGCGGCAGCAGGAGGGGCGCTTACTGTGAAGGAGGATATCGCGATCAAGAAGGGAGCGCGGAGGTGAGAAGCCGTGTTCTTTGGTACGTTTGGAGAGGTGGATGGCTATAACTGACCCAAGAACACAGCGGTAGGGGGGGCGCTTACTGTGAAGGAGGTTATCGCGATCAAGAAGGGGGTGCTGAGGTGAGAGGAGGAGGGCAAGGTGGTTGCTGAGAAGCGAGTGCAGCAGGAGGGGGAGCGCTTACTGTCAAGGGGGTTATTGCGATCAAGGAGGGGGCGCTGAGGTGGGTTTGGGACGTTTAAGAGAGTGGACGGATGGTGATGATGCATGTGCGAGGAGGAGGGTTTGAGGTGAAAGAAGGGCGAGGTGAGAAGGGCGAGGTGAGAATGGCATGTTGGCACCCTTCCCTCCTCTCTCTTGTTCTCTCCTCTTCTCCCCTGTTCTTGCCTCTTCTGTCTCCCTTAGACCCTTTCCATGTTGATTTGCTTCTATCTCAGAATCGGTTGAATCTCATCAGTGGGTTACGCTCGCTCGTTTGCACCATGGCTCTGCAAATCCCCTTCGCTTTCTGTGAGAGGGTGAAGGGGATTTGCAGGGTGCGAAAGAGCATACGGCTCAAAAGAACGTGGCCCTGCAATTCCCCTTCACTCTCTCTATTCCCTCACACCAATGCTTTCGCTCTTCGCTCTTCCAGGATCGGTCTGGACTTCAATGGGGGCTCAGCTAGTTTGCAGAGCACATCACGAGGCACAACGCAAAACAGTTGTTCATGTGCTCGTCTCTCCCCTCCATCACCCCTCTCTCTCAGAATTGGTCTCGACTTCAACGGAGGCTCGGGTTCCTTCGCAGTGCACATGGCAAGGCACAACCAGACCATGATGACCCATTTCTCTCCACCGCTCTCAACCGCTCTGTTGTTTCGTCTCTTTGCTCCTGCAGGATCGGTCTGGACTTCAACGGGGGCTCGGGCTCGTTTGCAGCGCACATGGCGAGGCACAACGTGACCATGATGACGTCAGCGATGAACCTAGAAGCCAACGTGGGGCGCAAGAAGGGTCTGCCCTTCCTGGAGACCATTGCCCTCAGAGGACTCGTTCCAATCTGGCTGCCGTACAAGGTGAGTGGGTGGGCGAGTCTGTTGCACTGCAAGCTGCATGCTGCACAGCACGAGGTGTGGGAGAGAGATGTGCCGCTGTGCCGCCCGACAAGGTGGGTGGGCGAGTCTGTTGCACTGCATGCTGCATGCTACACGGCACAAGGTGGGAGAGAGATGAACTGCAAGCCAACGTGGGGCGCAAGAAGGGGCTGCCCTTTCTGGAAACCATTGCTCTCAGGGGACTCGTTCCGATCTGGCTTCCGTACAAGGTGGGTGTGACTGTTGCAATAGAAGGGGCTGCCCTGTGAACCTAGAAGCCAACGTGGGGCGCAAGAAGGGGCTGCCCTTTCTGGAAACCATTGCCCTCAGGGGACTCGTTCCCATCTGGCTTCCCTATAAGGTGGGTGTGTCTATTGCAGTAGAAGGGGCTGCCCTGTGAACCTCGAGGCCAACGTGGGGCGCAAGAAGGGGATGCCCTTATTAGAGATCATTGCCCTGAGGGGACTTGTTCCCATCTGGCTTCCCTATAAGGTGGGTGTGTCTATTGCAGTAGAAGGGGCTGCCCTGTGAACCTCGAGGCCAATGTGGGGCGCAAGAAGGGGATGCCCTTATTAGAGATCATTGCCCTGAGGGGACTTGTTCCCATCTGGCTTCCCTATAAGGTGGGTGTGTCTATTGCAGTAGAAGGGGCTGCCCTTCCTGGAAACAATTGCTCTGAGAGGACTCGTTCCCATCTGGCTTCCCTATAAGGTGGGTGTGTCTATTGCAGTAGAAGGGGCTGCCCTTCCTGGAAACAATTGCTCTGAGAGGACTCGTTCCCATCTGGCTTCCCTATAAGGTGGGTGTGACTGTTGCAATAGAAGGGGCTGCCCTGTGAACCTCGGGGCGATTGTGGGGCGCAAGAAGGGGCTTCCGTTTCTAGAGACCATTGCCCTGAGGGGAATCGTTCCCATCCGGCTTCCCTATAAGGTGGGTGTGTCTGTTGCATGAATTGCTGCGCATGGTGTGGGAGGGAGAGAGATGAACCTCGGGGCGAATGTGGGGCGCAAGAAGGGTTTTCCCTTCCTGGAAACCACTGCCCTGAGGGGACTTGTTCCCATCTGGCTTCCCTATAAGGTGGGTGAGTTGGCTGCTGCATTTGACGAACCTGGTTGACAGGTGTGGGAGAGAGATGAACCTCGAGACCAACGTGGGGCAGAAGAAAAGGGTTATCTTTTTTAAAGACCTTTGCTTTCAGGGGCCTTGTGCCGTTGTGGCTGCCCTATAAGGTGGGCAGGTCTGTCTGCTGCACACTGCACATGGTGTGGGAGGTTGATGAATCTCGAGGCCAATGTGGGGCGAAAGAAGGGGTTTCCATTGTCTTTTTTGCAGCGCAAGAATTTTCTTTCCCTTCCTTCCCACTCTCTCCCACACCCCCTTGCATCAGGTGCGCCTTCCATTCTATGGCAACACTATAGACATTGTACACGCCACCAACGCCATCAAGTTCACCCTCTCCCCCCCCTGTGACTTGTTTCACTCCCATCAGGTTCGCCTGCCCTTTTACGACAACACTCTGGACATCCTTCACGCCACCAATGCCATCATTTCGGCTTCTTTCCCCCCCACACCACCCCCACTTATTTCTCTTCCATCCCATCAGGTTCGTCTGCCCTTCTACGACAACACTCTGGACATACTTCACGCCACCAATGCCATCAAGTTCATGCCTTCGCCCGCGGAGTTCGAGGAGGTTCTATTCGAGTGGGACCGCGTGCTACGAGTCGGTAAGTTGGTGATAATAACACAACACCCCATAGACACATCCTACACGCCACCAATGCCAGCCAACTCGTGCCTTCGCCTGTTCAGTTCGAGGAGGTTCTATTCGAGTGGGACCGTGTGCTGAGAGTCGGTGAGTTGGCGCATGCCGCATGGCTGTCAGTGCTCGGGTGATCATGTGCCCTCAGAAGGTATTAATCAAGTCCTTGCATACTCATGCCATCGCCCGCTGAGTTCGAGGAGGTTCTGTTGGGTGGGACTGCGTGCTGAGAGTTGATGAGTTGCCCTTTCGACAATGTGCTCTAGTTCACTCATGCTGTCGCCTGCTGAATTCGAGGAGGTTCTGTTTAGTGCGACCGCGTGCTGAGAGTTGGTAAGTACCGCCACCTGCACTGGAGGTCCACCCCCCTCCCTCCCCGCTCCATCTCTCGTGTCCTCTTTCTTTTCCCTATCGTTTTCATTCTCTCTCCCTTTCATCTTTGCCTCATCTGCCAGGTGGTGTGATGTGGTTTGAGGAATTCACTGCCTCGGCAGCAGAAATGCCGTCATATCTGTCGGTGCTGGACCTGCTAAAGTACCGCCACCTGCACTGGAGCCTCACTCACTTCACATTTTCGTGAATGGAACTTCATGTTTTTGTTTTTCCCCTCTGTCGTACCGCCAGGTGGTGTGATGTGGTTTGAGGAATTTACAGCGTCTGCAGCAGAAATGCCGTCCTACCTGTCAGTCCTTGATCTGCTGAAGTACCGCCACCTGCACTGGAGCCTCACCCCCCCCAAGGCCATGATTGGCAAACCTGCTGGCACTGTCATTCTGCACTGCCTTCTCGAGAAACCCATGCGGAAAGACTTGTGATTCTAGAGGTGTTATTGTTACAGTGCTTTTGAGAAACTTTACAATGATTGCAAGCCTGCCAGCACCATCATTCTCCACTGCCTGCTTGAGAAGCCCATGCGGAAGGCTTGGTAGTCTTTGTGTTGTTACTGTTACTTCAGTGCTTTTCACACCTCTTTTGCCAGAGAAGTTCATAATGTTCATGCGTAAGCATGTTGGTTTGCATGTCATGCAAACAAGTGTTAGCTACGCATCCATGACTGTAACTTGCTTTGAAACTTCAGTGGAACCCTTCCAGGCCATTCCTGCAGGATGAGACATACGGTAAGTAATTGCTACAAGAGTAGACATGGTCTACTAAATGCATTCAGCACAAGAAACTAAACAACCAAATAATTCACACACATTCACTCTCACCACACATGCGCATGCGCCCACACGACCACGCACACACACACACCCACACGCATGCATTCCAGCTTTCAAACCAAACTTTCCCAGCTTATGGTATGACTCTTCAGAACCATTCTTCCAACAACTCTGCTGCCATAGCTCGTTCACACACGTCATCTGCCAGTATCATGCTCTGCACATGCAAAACACACAAAAATTATCACTGCTGACATTTTTATTAGCACATTTACAAGCACCTTTCTAGAAACAACGTAACTCACCTTCAAGACTTTCACAGCTGCTTCACGATTTGCTCCACTCAGTAGGTAACTTGCGGAGGTTTCTTTCAGCATCGGAGCATTATGCAAGTTCGCTGCCTTCCAAAATTCGAAGGCTGTGTCGTCTGTCAAACATGTGCAGAGACGAGAATCAAGAAACCGAGTGAGTTCCACAACTTCGTATTTGTCAGCTGCAGCAAGTAGTTTCAATTCCTGCACCACGACGCTAGTGAGCAAGTCAGAAGTTTTCTTGCAAGCATAGCAGAAATTAGCAATACAAATCACAAGGGTTCATTCCACTTCACCTCGATTGTTGCATCTTCTTTTTGGAGCTCGCCAGTGTACATGAATTCAAGAAGTTGCTCCAATGTAGAGGAGTCCAGATCGTGTATCAGAACAGAGTCTTTCTTAGCTTCTTGAAAGTCACCACTGAACATCTTGGCAAAGACAGGAGACCTGTAACCACAGACAAGAGTACACACAATCATACCAGCTTAGCAGAATTGATTTTAATCATAACATATCGACTAGGGATGCGTAGTCAACAATCAGAACACACACTTCCAGTAAGAGACTCGGAAAGACAGGAGCCACCTGTTGCCACCATAACATTAACATAACAACACGATGGTACCGCAAGAAGAAAATGGTAACACACATTGGTCTACTTACCATGCAGCAAGAATACAGCGATGAGCGGAGATATTCCCTCCGTCAGTTGTCTCCAGAGTAACATCGCAAAACGACATATCAAGCATACCCTTCACCTTCAGTAAAAAGAGATGCGTGCGGCCCAGTTTGGATTTTGATTCTCTCGCTTCAATTCTGGACCCTTCTAGAAGACACTCCAGCGATTTCACCTTTTCTTCTGCCTCCCTCTTGACTCTATTTAACTCGTATCGCGCGTCGCTCTCGGCACGTTCCAGTTGCCGCTCAGAATGGGCAATGGACCGCTCTAGTTGACGCTCTCGAGATTCATATCGCTGTACACAACACCCACAAATTTCTCTGGACTTCTTCCTGTATGCTCGCAGAAATCACAGATCGGCATCGCGGAAGCGTGGAGGGAAAGACACAACCATTCTTCAACCAACAAGCTCGATTATTAATAGTAGAGACGATTCACTCAGAACGTTACGTCACCTGGTTACGCTGCGCCACCATCCAACTTTCGGATTGTCCATTCTGGACGGGAGCTCCATCGACCCTCGTCGTACCTAACGAATGATCAACAGAAAGCAAGATTGCCATGCCGCCACGACACTTCACTTAAAACCGGTATACTTACAGGATGGTGGAAAACTTATCTGAGCTCGCAAACGCGGGCTTCGCAGGGCCGTGCCGATATCGCCTCCTAACCTGCATGAATATGGGAAAGCTCGAACCGCAAACGCGTCATCGCACATGGCTCCTAGGCTTTGATTGAGGGGCTCGATCGGTTCTCCTTTACTCGTTTCCTCTCCGCTATGGCGCGATTGCCTTTCCGGTATGAGCACACCGATGAATTTTTGTTCATCCCTTTGGTTGTAACACTGACGAACTTTTGAAACACTTCCGGTATTTAGAAAGAACTTACGGTACTAGTGAGCCTCACTAGGGAAAATTTCATCAAGTTGCCGGTAAACTCACAACAGTACGTTGTCTAATCACACCTATGACTTCCCATCACCTAACCTACCAGTGAACAATGTTTTATCCAGTATGTTCACTGCCACTGTTCTCTCAGCCTTGTCATCCGCCAACAAAACATCCTGCAAGATACAGCGAAGAGGCACAAACTCACGGAAGCATCCTTGAAATACACACACAAAATAGCATTCTGTCAACAAAAACAGAGTCTCCTCTGCTTGCAGCCACCAGGCTGGTGGCTTTGGTGGAGAAGGTTTGTACTGTAGGTTTGTACTGTATTTGCATCTTGATTTTCAGAGCTTACCCTCAGAGCATCTAGGCGACACTTGTTGACCAGTAGTTTGCACAACTGTGACTCCAAATTGTCCTTCAGCTCCAACACTTCGTACTTGTCTGCTGCCACAAGAAGCTTTATCTCCTGAAATGTCAATGGATACAGGAAAACTCAATACAATGCAGAGAGCAGCCTAGCAAAGGATTGACTGCACATAAGCAGATGATAAACACAACCTAGCATCACCAATCCTTCCAAGGCATATTCGATACGATTCCAACCATAACAAAAACATTGGCACTTCACCTGGCGAGTTATCTCTTTGGCGCTCAGCTGGCCAGTGTACATGTAGTTGAGTAGTTTCTCCACTGTGGATGTGTCTACGTCATCAATCTGAACATGGCCACTCGTCTCCTCTTGAAAGCCACTGGTGAACATTTTTGCAAAGACTGGAGACCTGCAAAGGACGGTGGCGAGTTCAAACAAAGTTAAAAAGGGCAAAATTGCTGATGCAGATCAGAATAGGCTGAGAAAAACAGCACACTAACCATGCAGCCAGTATGCAACGATGAGCAGCGATCTTTCCTCCATCAGATGTCGCTAAGGTCACATCACAGAGGGATGCATCAAGCATGCCGTTGACCTTGCGAGCAAAAAGGTGCATTTGATCTAGAGATACTTGCAGCGCCGCTGTATTCTTCGCGTACTCACGCACGTAATGGGGCGCCGTTTTACAGGATCCGCAAACGAAAAGCTGAGCGACGTCGTTCTTCAGAACAGAACAAACGTTGCATTGGCGCTGCATCTTTGGTAAGCTTCAAATTAACTGCTACAAGTTAAAAAAACAGAAGTAACACGGTAAAACGCACCACCGATCGGGTTGTGAAAGTTCAAAGGGGGAGGGCTCTTAACGACCTAACAATCGGCTCGTTCTGAAAAACAGGTGCGACGTCGATTTGATCGTTTGTCAAAAATATCAAAGACGCAAATATTTAAGAAAATCGAACGCACGAGAGCAGACTTCACCGAACGCTGGTTAGCACGCCAGAATTCCAGTGTCTGCGTCCAAGCCTCGAAGCCTCTCAATCGCCTCATCGCATGTCTAGGATGTTCTTCGCCTCCAACGTCCCCACCCCCTTCCGCTTTTCATGAGCACCGAGCTGCAAGGACCGCAGCTCTCTGCTATAAGCGCATTTTCTTACTCGTCATTGGCACGCTGCAGGATGCCAGTGACTTGGATAGCGTGGACAGCTCGACATGCAGGGCAGGGGAGTAACCCCATCCGCGCAAGGCTAATTACGTCAACAAGCTGGTAACCCAAAGTCGACAGATAGAGTGTGAATGGATCGCCTAGACGAATCGAGTGTGAATACCCTGATGTGCCGTGTGTGGGTGCTATGCAGCAGCATGTATATTGTCTTCGTTACAGGCGGTTCAGTTTGCCAGCGTTAGCGCTTGCGGACGAAACATACGAATCAAACCTTCCATAACTCTCACTGACAAAAGTTCAGGTATTTCAAAAGTTCATTATAACACATTGTGCACATTTCAGATATTCCACTATATGATTACCAGATAATTACACTTTCATCTAGTATGTGAGCAAAAATAACGTGCAACCAGAGTTTCGTTTCACTTATAGCCAGATATACTGAAGCTGACTCAACCAAGCGTAGACTTGTCAGTAGCATGCTTAATTTCAACAGCGTCACGCCATCACTTTACTCTTTTTGAAAGCCATCGCTAAACATCAAAGCCATCTCGAAAGCTGGAAACCTGAGACCGCCGCCAAGGTTTGGGTCCAGCTGCTTGCAACATATAAGGAAAGGACCTCGCGGCAAGGATTCGAGCTCCAGAAAACGACGCCATCTTTAGTCTCCTCCAGACTGAAATTGCATGTTAATTGAGCTGCCAGAAGCCTTCATCGCTTCGAAACACTTGCCACCTCTTCCAAATAGCCTGCACATACTACACCACAAATACCAGTGTATGCAAATTATATGATTGGGCACAAATTGTATGTGGACAAGGAACACGCTTCAGAGGTAGAAGAAAGAGACTCATAGGAAAACCACCCTCAGAAGGGAGAATAATGGACGCACAACAACAATGGGGGTGGGAAAGGAGGAGGGTATAAGGGCTGAAAGATGTATCATGGGCTAGTGAACCTCGTAAGGACATGATGTACATCTGGTTTGAGTCTATTTCAAACGCAAATACGAGTTACTAGCATAATGTCTACAACTGCCTATCTCCATCCTCACCTCCCGTGACTTGTTTTCATCCCAAATTGAGAAGTGCATAAAGTTAGGTAAGTGTTGAAGCTAAGCTTTCCTTCGTCACCTCGTTTCTCGCTCCCTGATTCCCTTTTCCTCCTTTCCTCCCTGCTGTTACCCCCTTCCGCCCCACTACTCTTCTCCTCCCAGAACGCTCTCTTGCAAAATCCTCGACTATCCTCTCTTCTCACCTCTCTTCCTCACTTTCACCCCTTCCCTTATCCCTACTTCCTTCATTCAACCTCTAGCTTTCCTTATCCTCTTTTATCCCCACCTCTCCATAGCACTTTTCTTGCTTTTCTCCCTCTTACCTCTTTCTTGTCTGCTTCCTAGCTTTCACTCTGCCCCTTCCTCGTTTCCTTTTTTCCCCATTCCCCACCTCTCCTCATCTCTCCATCTTGTCTCCCCTCCTTTCTCCCTTCGCACGTTCAGTCCCACATGACCATGAGTCAGAAACACGATGTTGCATCATGGAAGGAACACGTCCAGTGGATCATACCACAAGTTCAACAAGACCACATCACCTGGATTTGGTAGGGGGAGTGGGGAAACAGGGGGATAAAGTACACATGAGGCCCCATGCACCCTCATGATTGGTGGAGCATATGATAAGAACATTTTCTACCAAAGCACACCACCTGGAATTGGTGGGCACGAGAAGGGAGGAGGAGGGGAGGGAGAGAAGGGATGTGTCATATACCTCAAACAAGGACATATGTACCTCTTGAGCCAAACCATCTTGACCATCAAAGTCAAATCATAAGCATGTTGAGTGTTTCTTGAGTGTAGGTTGGACAAGTAGCTAGACTTTCATAAAGTATACTTCTCCCTAGTACAAAGTGCATGCAGATTGCACTACTGCAAAAATCACCACTGTCGTATTGAACCATTGAATGGTACCTGTCACGTTTTCTGCCATGACTTCTCTAACAGATCAACCGCCACTACTATAACCCTCTGGTCCCTGCTCAACAATGCCTCCTGCATGCATTGCACGCGTCATAAGAATATGAACCAGGAAAGTGTCTCACCTGCAGAATTGTTCACAAGGGTAATCCCTTTTTTTTTTAAGTCTTCCAGAATTTCAGCTATATGCATGCCACCTCATACCTTCATGCTTGCGTGTGCGACTTCATGGTTCATATGCTCAGCCAGGTGCGAATTCAGGTACTCCTTCAGGTCCAACACTTCATACGTGTCTGCTGCCACAAGGAGCTTCAGTTCCTGCATAATACTCAATAACATAGTGGTGACAAGGGCACATTAAAACAAAAGGAATGTTATACATACAACTGTACAAGATGTAACTCACCTTCATGGTTACATTTTCCACATGTATCTCCCCCGTGTACATATAATCCAGCAGTTGTTCCATTGTATCGCTGCCTAAATCCTCTATATAGACAGATCCCATCTGCGCCTCCTGAAACTCACTGCTGAACATCTTTGCGAAGACAGGAGACCTGCAAAGGTGATGGTCGGGCACTGCCTGTCATATCTGTAAGAATGCAGGAAACTGTATTAGCATGCAGCACACTAACCATGCAGCGAGAATGCAGCGATGAGCAGAGATCTTCCCTCCATCGCATGTCTCCAGTGTAACATCACATGAAGATGAATCTCGCATGCCCTTGAGTTTATTTACAAGCACCCGCAGCTTCTGTAAGGGTTCTCGCATCTTCTCTGCTTCAGTCCTGGCCGTTTCTGATTCGCGAACTTGGTCCTCCAATTGTTTCACTCGGCTCCTGAACTGACCGTTTTCACCTCCAAGGTCATTGACTTGCTTTCTCAGTCCACTGTTGATGGAAGGCGCAGCTTTACAATCATCGCATATGCTAAATTCCTTAAGCCACATCAACCTTCTGTCACACAGATCACAGTGTGTCGCCATTGTCGCAATTGATAATTTTACACGCACCAAACTCATTTATAGGCCTTGCATAGGTAGTCCAGCATGTTAGGGAAGCCCTGTCATAGACTGACAGAAAACGGTTCACGCGTCTCAATGCATGTACTCTCAATAGCACATCCCAGAGAACTGATAATTGAATCCTCACGTGAGCACTAAAGTGCTATGATTTACGTACAAGTCGACGAGTCGACTCAAGACTTATGATTGATGCTTCTCCACCTTACCTTCGAAAATATTTACGCCCGTCGAGTCTTCCAACTGATGCCTCGGAACTATCAAGAGAGGTTGCGCCATCGTCGATCTACAGGCTATCTCGACTGCTATATCGTCAGTTTACAGGCTATTTCGAGCTTCAAACCGGAAAATCGTCAGAGCCCATTTGACACGGCTAGGAAGGCCTGTAATCGGACGATCATTTCGAGGGAACTGGGCTCGCCTTGGCGCCGCCGAGTTACTTAGGGGATACCGTAACACCTGTCAGGGGACCGCCTGTTGTATCATGGTACTAGCATCGCGAGCGCTTAGGAATCAGTACAAGTGGGCTGGTGAGAAACGCGTGCTGGGATTTACGAGACCAGTCCAATGTCCCGCTTATGAATCGACGCGTTACAATTTGGAAACTCGAGGTAAAATCAATTTAGTACTATCCAAGTGTCACTGGATGTTAGGAGGTGAGCAATACCTACATATGGAAGCCCAAAACAAGATGTGAGCAACACCAAATTGATATATTAATTCCGAAAACACGCCATTTCGAGAAGTGTGTGAGCTACTTTTGTTTTTTTATACCAACATGCCATCGGCAATCTACCTAGGACATACACGGTAGTTCTCGTATTTTTTCAACTGCCGGCAATGCTGTAAACAAGTCGTGTGGTGCAAGTGGAATGGGTTCGGAAACCATCTGCAATATGATCCAATGAAGGACCGCAATACGTCACAGAAGGGCCCATGAGTGGTGCCCAAGAACTAAATACAATACACGATACGGTACTACCCCTGTACCGTAATTCATTCCGCCATGTATCAGTGATCTTGTCTTCCATACCTTAATTCCCCACTCTCGGCCATCCCGCCCGTCCTCACCCCATCAGCGACCTGTTATGCCATTTCCCTGCTCCGAATAGGTTTCCAAACTCTGAACTCCATCACTAAACCCTGTGAACCCCTCTCATTATCCGTTTCTGAATCCTGTCCCACCCCCCCCTCCCACCCTTCTCCCATCCCCTCCTATCATTTCCCCCTCCCAT